TGCTCTTCCAGGACCTCTGTGCCACAGGGGCCACCACAGGCACACAGGTGGGGACACAGTCCCAGGGTGGCCTGGAACTTGGCCCGAGCCACAGAGCCTGGGCCTGCCGTCAGCCGCCACCCTGGGCCAGCCTGACCCTGGGCCCTAGGTCATAGCGCTAGGTTCAGCCCTTCTTGGGACCAGACACTGGTGACATGGGGACACTGGACGTGTGGCCTGCTCTCAGGGAGATGGAAACATGGGGCCTTCGGCAAGCACCGCTGTATTCAGCTCAGCGTCTAAGGACGCGCTCTCGTCTGTGGTCAGCACTCTCAAGTCTGCGAGCGCCCATTGTGTGTCTCGGGTCCCAGCTCTGTTCCTTGCCAACTGCCCCCCCCAGCACCCAAGCTGATGGCAGAGGGTGTGGCGAGACCTCTGGGCCACTGCACCCCAGCCCTGCCCTTGTGCCCTCCAGCAATGCCTGTGTGAAGATACACTGACCCAGTGACAGCTGCCCTGAGGGCACCTGCTAGACAGGATGGAGAAAGACAGCCACCCCGCGTCCCACCACTGTCACCTGATGTCTGTTTTTCACTCTGGGAAGATCACTTCTGTCTTTCATTCTGCCTTTCTTTTGTTCTGTAGTGATTCAATTCAGAGCCTCCGCACTGAGCTATATCTTGAGCACTTTTATTTTTGAGGCAGGGTCTCCCCAAGTCATTAACCTGCCCAGGCCTTCGGTCTCCACCTCCTGCCTCAGCTTCCCAGAGTCCTGGGATGACAGTCATGTGCCACCACACCCAGAAGCCAGAGCTTCTTCCTTTCCAGTAGCACCAAGCTGATCACGGCTACGCTAGAAGCTGTACCTTCCCTGTGGAGCAAGAATGTACAGAAACTTTGTTGTTTAAAGGCCATCCCTGTAGCAGCTAGCACGGCGGCCCTGACAGTGACAGTGACATCAGGCCAGGCCCCATGCCTGACTTGGGGAAAGGATTTGCGCTGACACCAGAGGTGAGCTCGCTTTGGACCCCTGCCCCACCCCCCGCCGTGGGGTGATTTGGAAGAGACACACCAAGGGGCCGAGGGGCCGAGTGACAACAGAACGGGGACTGTTGCGAGGCAGGCACAAGTGCAGGACCCTGGAGCCCAGGAGCCACGGAAGCAGGAGGCTTCTCCTGTGAGGTTGTGGGCCGCAGCCCACCAGCGCTTGGCTTTCAGCCTGTGGGGCTGAGAGGACATACTCTTCTCCAACCACTGAGGTCTTGGCCCCTTTTACAGTGCCCAGGAGGGGACACTGGCAATCTGTCCCTGCCCTCTGGTCCTGTCACTCTGTGAGTCCCTGTGCCCCTGGCCCTCCTGGTTGGCCTGGCAGGGTCTTCTATGTGTATCTTTTCATATCAAGTGATTTTTACAGACTTGATTTTCTTTTTCAGATGCAAAATATGTAGTGCAAATTTCTGTTTATTTCATAAAACTTGGAAGACACAGAGAGATATATACATACAGAACAAAAATTATAGTTAGTGATCCCAGCCACGGATGATGACGGTGTGTGGTCTTTGTGCTCGCTGAAGATCCCTGGGAAATGTCACCAGTGCAGCCACGGTGGGAAATGCTTTGGTGGTTTCTTAATAAGCTGGACCTGCAGCCCAGTGGTGGACTCTGGGCAGTCCCTGGGGACCAGCGACCTCTGTGCAGGAAGCCGGGTGTCATCGTGCACCGTCTCAGATCGACTGAGTCCAAGCAGGCTAGAGGAACATGGAGGAAGGACCGAGCATGTGTCCCGCACTGTGGGCTGAGGAGACAGGGCCAGCGATGCTGGGCACAGGTCACAGGGGTGGCAACAGGCGTGGTAAAGAAATAGGTTCATGTCCCCAACTCCCCCATATCACAGGATTCTACTCCTGTCACTTGAAGTGATAGGGCCCCAGGGGTGGGGGTCAGATCAGTGTGATGGGGGAGGGGGTGGTGGTGGCGAGGGCTGTGTCTGGACTGTGGCCATGGCCGCACTAATCTCTGGGCCCCAGCGACGTGGGCAGGTGGCCACACAGGGTACCAGGTGCCACCGCTGGGGAGGCTGGGAGGCCCTGGGGTCCCTCTGTTTTCTCTCTGAGACATTGTATCCCTCTAGATTGATTTCAAGATAAAAAATAAGACAGTCCTGATTGGGAAGAGAAAGCTACACTAGCTGTTCAGAGGGTCCTGTCATCAGGCACTGCGGGAAGAGAAGGCCCTGGGGGACCCGGCAGCGACAGCACAGGCTGGAGCAGCGGGGAGGTGGGATCTTGGGGGTCTCAGGGATCCCCAGGGCGGGGACTGCGGGGAGGGATGGTGCCTGCCCCTGGAGCCCCTGAGTCCTCGTGGGCCAGACACGGGGTGGCGGGCTGGAGAGCGGCAGCAGGCACCTTGCTGTCTAGAAAGCGTCGTGGGCTCGTTCTCCCGGGAGGGCGCCGTCTGTCTGCACGTTTTCGCTGTCCCGGAGTTACCTTAGGAGGGGAATTTTCACGTCTGCACCACCCGCTAGTGATGGATGAGCCTCCTGTGACTGGATGACGCAGAGGCCACGGGACGAGCCCGGGGACAAAGCCAGGGCTAGGAGCAGCTCCGTGGTCAGCAGGAGCCTGGTTCCTGGCCTTGGGTAGCTGCTGGAGCCACCCCACCAGTGCCCACCCACACTGGTCCCCAACAGCCCGTGGCCCCCTGCGCCGCGCACTCAGCTGACTGTGCTGTCCCCAGGGTCCCCCCTCTTGGTTAGCCTATGGTGGCTTTCTCACCTCTGAGTCTTCTACATACATTGTGTTGTATTCATTTTTATTTTTTAATGAGAGTTTAGGTGATTTTAATATCCTTCCAAACACCACCACGTGCCATATACTTTAGCCTTTTACACTCCATCCTGTATTATTTTCCATTCAGAGCAGATATTAGCCTTGTGAAAAACAAAAAACCAGCAACAAGACACGGTCTCACCGTCTAGCCCAGGCTGACCTGGAACTTTTGGCGATCTTCCTGCCTCAGCCTCCTGAGTGCTGAGATTGCAGTGTGCGCCACCAGGCCTGCCTCTGATGGCCACCTGAATTGGTTTCTTTTCTCTGTTCTCCAGGCCATGCTGACTGGAGGGGAGTCGAGCCCGCAGCCTCCTCAGGGGCTTCTGACGTCTACCCCAGCTGTCAGGAGCTTGTCTGGCTCGGCGGCTACGCTGCACCCATGAGGGCGGGGCCCCTTTGCTCCAGGCTGTCTGTGTGGTGACCTGATTTAGGGCAGACCCAGCCTGACCCGCTTGGCCCAGGGACCCGCCGGCCGGGAAGGGGTGCGTCTACAACGCCCTGGCCTGAGTGGAGATGACCCATGCTGCCGGTCCACCCTGCTGGCCACTGGCCTGGAGGTGGCCGACCCATGCGAGTCCACAGCTGGGCGGACAGTGGGAACAACACGAGGGCCCCAGGCCGGGGCGATGGGAGGGCAAGGGGCCTGGCCCCGGGCTCCGCTCTTCCCCGGTCCTGCCTGGCACCTCCTCTCTCAAGCCTGTCTGTGCTGCACATACTTGGCGGATCACACCTACACCCTCTGAGGCTGTAGAGCTCCTGTGGCTACAGTCGGGCTCCAGGGCTTACGTGCAGTAATGGAGGGCCAGCCCGGTCATGAGCCCCCCTCATTCTCCTCGCTGCTGTGGGCCACAGGCTTTGGTTAGGGTCACCCCCTCCCCCCGGAAGCTGGGGTCCTTAAGAGCTCCCTGGTCATGTGTGGTGGTGCACACCTATAACCCCAGCACTCTGGGAGGCTGAGGCAGGAGGATGGCAAGTTGGATACCTGCCTGAGCAGTGTGGCTACTTGGTCTGAGGTCTGGGGCTGCAGCTCTGCGTGAAGGCCCTGGGTTTGGTTCCCAGTCCAGAAAGTGTGTGGGGTCTCCTGGGTTAGGCCAGGCCTGCCTCAGAGCGGCCCAGCGTCGGCTGCTTGGAGACCTGCCCCGCAGCTGTTGAAGCCTTTGCCTTTGCCGCGCAGTGCAGCCGAGTCACGGTGACTCGTCACCCCGTGGGAGGAGAGCGCACAGTGCACAGGTCGGCACTGCTACGCCACCCCACCCACCTCTGGTGACCTGGGGGCTCTGCCAGGAGCATAGCCCGGCTCAGCACACACCCTGGGCAGAGACAGAGGGGCACACGTGTAGACACTTAGTACACACGGCACCGCGCTGAGGTCCCCTGCACCCCATGGGCCCAGGACTCACTGCCTCTTCAGGGGCCCTTGTGACCCTGGAGTCCCTGGCAGCACACAGAGCAGCTTCCTCCTGACCCCAGGACCCCATCCAGTGCTCCCCCATGCTTCGGGGGGACAGACCAGAAGACAGAGAGCCAGAAGCTCTCTGCTGCCCCCTGGTGGAAGGCCGGCAACACACCAAGAACCAGGAGGCTCCTGCTCTTCCGGCCTCTGGACAGAGAGGGGCAGCGGGTCCAGGCCCACTCAGGGTCCTGCCCACCTGAGTGCCTCCTCCTCCTCCCCCATCTCTTCCTCCTTTTCCTCCTCTTCTTCCTCTTTCTCCTCCTCCCATCCTCCTCCTCCTCTTCTTCCTCCTCCTCC